ACATTATGAGACTCTAGACAGAGAAACCAGGGGATCTGATGGATTCTGACCTATGGAAACTGTGTGATAATTAACTTGTGTAGTGTTAAGCCTTTAATTTGTAGTTGTCTGTTACAGCAGCAGAAGAAAACTAATACAGCTTTGCCACACAACTCTGTACTTGTCAAAGCTGCTAGGATAGAACTATATCCCCCCAAAAGTGATTTTACTGTATATAAATTTAAAATGAAAATTGTTTAATGTTCTTGCTTTTAAAGACCATTACCAATGGTCTTTACAAAAGAAAAATTTTAGCCATATTTCTTCACTTCTTTAGTCCTTAATCTCCACAGTAACTCCAACTTGGAATTTGCTCTCTGTCCTGGTCCTTTCTTGCCCATCCACTGCCCACAACTAATCTAAGTTCCTGCAGAGTAAGGCCACTTTCTATGCCACTGACCAGCTCAGAGCTCATGGCTGACGTCAAATAGGTCAGAACTTACTGCTTTCCTAGGACTTTGAACAAGAGGAAAGCCCCAAATGAGGAAACTGAAATGTCAAAGTCCGTTTCAAAGAACCTTACTGGGAATTCTCCAAGACAGAGAGTTTCTATCAATACAGATACATCAAAACCAACAGTCAGAGCCCAGAGTATTGACTAACTCACCAGGCCTTTTAGCAGCTAATGGAGGAGTACTTCAAGAAATGCTATAAATCCAATATTTTTCCTCTGAAGCATTAATTTATGTGGAGTCCCTTTTCTAATCACTAGACCATCCCCACCCTCTACTTCCAGCTCACCACCACTATCAACAGCTTTCCTAATTTTTAACAAAGCTGAAGGTAGTACTTTCCCAATTTTCTTATGGTATTCTGCTGTCTTACCAGGCCTGCTCAAAGGAATAGCATTTCTCTTTAAAACTGGTTTTTTAACTACTCTCTGCAGCCTACAGCCAATTAAGAGCCCACGAAGTAAGTTAAATATACCAAAGTGAAGATTTCTAAATTCAACAAAGAGATCAATAAATACTTATTAAGTGCTTTCTGTGGGCAAAGCCCTGGGAAGTATAAAGAAGCAAAACACAGATGGTCCTTATCTCTGCACATGGCTTACAATGTCATTAGACAATGATAAAACTAATAGCAATCTAAGACAACAAAGTTACAAGATCATATACAAAATAATGCTACAGGGGTTCAGGCGCCTGGGTGGCTCAGTCGTTAAGCGTCTGCCTGGGGCTCAGGTCATGATCCCAGGGTCCTGGGATCGATTCCCATATCAGGCTCCCAGTGGGAAGCCTGCTTCTCCCTCTCCCACCCCCCCGCTTGTGTTCCTGCTCTCGCTATCTCTCTCTCTGTCAAATAAATAAATAAAATCTTTTAAAAAAAATAATAATGCTACAGGGGTTCAAAGTGGGGAGAGTGTGGCTGGGGTGCTCAGAGAAAGAAAGCTTTGCCAGGAGCTGGAAAAAAATGCAAGAGTGCTGCAGAGGATTCCTCCAAGACAGGACATTTTCTTAAAAAGACAAATCTAGAAACTCCACCTGCAAAATCTCCCTGTTAGCATACATCTCCATAAAAATTGAACAGAACTTCAAAGAAAAAAAATGACCCCGGCTTCAAAAAAAAAAAAAAAAGAATTTCGGGGTTCTGAATTATTTAGACTAATAGCTAACTTCACAGAAATTCATTTTTTACATGTATCTGTTGGGAGTGAAGATGACTGACATTTCTGGATGGTTCTGGCCTTCTTTGGTAATCCCTGCAATCTGCACCTCTACAAGCAAGGAAAGAAATGTCCAGCTAAGGCAGTCTCCACCTGCAACGGAACCATATGGGCTCGTTGCAACTGAATTGACATGGGAGCCCTTCCGCTCAGTGTACAAAATATGATACAGGCTGCTAGAATGGTCATTTCCTTTAGTTACACATTATTAGTTAGAAATAGGAATGGTCCTAGCACATGCCAACCCCAGTCCCAACATCTTCAGCATCTGACAGTCTTCTGTTCTGTACGCACTCTCACCAAAAGATGTGTAGTGTAAAACAATGTTCACAGTAGCTCTGTCCACATTAACCCCAAAGTGGAAACTAACCAAAGGTCTGCCAGCAGTTGATGGATTAATAAATTGTGGTACATTCATACAATGGGATACTACAGAACAAAGAGGATGAACAAACTGCAGCTACACACTACAACGTGGGTGAATTTGACAAGCATGATGTTGACTGCAAGAAGCCACACACAAAAGCAAACATACTATAGGGTTTTATGTACATAAAGTTTATTTAAAAAAAAATAAGCTAATCTATGGCATTAGAAGTCAGAAGAGTGGTTACTCTAAGGCAAAGGGAGCTAGTGACTGGGAGGGACCCTAATGGGACTTCTGGGGTCCCCAAAATGTCTGTTTCTTAGTCTGACAAGTGGTTATGAGGGAGTGGTTACTTAATAAAAGCTTTATTAAGCTGTACCCTATGGTAACACTTTTCTATATGAATGCTTTATTTTAATTAAAAAAAAACTAATCTTAAAGAAAATTCAAAGCTGTTGTATTAAAGGATTATAGTAAGATAATCAAAATTTTCACGTTACAGTTGAAGAGTTACATGCGTATTCACATCCACCATTTTTTTGTTTAAATTACTTATTTTATATAGTGACTTTGTTTTAATGTATACTTAGGTGGGAAATATAGTTCTTAGGATCTCTGCCTTGACACAGATCAAAGAGGATGATTTATTACTCTATTTCATTAGTCTTGGTGTATCACTCTTAGAAGACTGAGAAAGAATAGGAAGAGGAGAAGGAGAGACAGGGGGAGGAGGAGGAAGAGGAAGAAGAAAGGAGGAGGAAGAGGACAAGGAAAAGGAGGAAGAAGAAGGAGGAGGAGGGGAAGGGAAAGAAGGAGGGGGAGGGAAAGGGACAGCAGCAGGGGAAGGAGAAGGAGAAGAAGAAGAAGAAAAGAAAGAAGAAGAAGAAGAGGAAGAGGAAGAAGAGGAGGAAGAAGAAAGAAGAAAGAAAGAAGAAGAAACAACCTCTCTAGTCTTTTCTTTAAAACCTCTGGAGGGGTAAAAAAAAAAAATAGGGTCACCAGATCATGTTCTAGTGCTGCATAACTATTTGTTTAAAAATTTGTTACAAGGTAAGGGGCAGGGACTAGATGTCCCCAGTAACTCCCACTCTATCTAAACCACAGCCTGATCCCAGCTGAGAGGTGTAACCCAAACAAGCTACTATCTGCCCCATGTGCTGGCTGCTGATCCCATATCTGCCATTAGGTAGAGAATTTTCCTCCTCATCAATAATTGTAGCATACATCTTCTCCTCAAATTAACACTAAGCAGAGATAAAAGCCCTCTGCCCTGCCCTCATAGGTCAGATCTTAGAATAAACACCAATCCACATAGCATTTGGAGGTCACGGTTTCCCCGATGACTGTGAAAATGGGGAGGGGAGAAGAGGTCGTCAAGTGGAGCTGCCTTTCTAAGGGGGGTACGAGATGAAGCCCCTGAGCAAAGGCCAGAGCCTTGCCTCCGTTACCCTTTCGCGGAGAGCACCCGCCTACCATTCTGCTAGTACCTGCTAGTCCCCCGGGCCCTTCGCAGAGACTGCGGCACAACCTTGGTGAAGGAAGATGCTGGAGGCTGCTTGGGCCGGCAAACGTCAGCCTCTGGTGCTTGAGAAAGCCTTGGGAGACACCGGCAGAGACCCTCGATAAACTGTCACCTGTCAATCACTTGACCTAAATACTCTAGCCACTGGGGGAATCGGAGGGAGGGGGTTAGCCGGAGCATGCTCAGTAATCGGGATGACATCACTTAATCAATGCCGGGGACGGGAAGGCTGCATCAGCAGCCTCGAGCGGGCTGCCAGGAATATGTCAGCGGGGATCGGGAGGCTCCCATTAACTCGGTCCCAACCCCACGCGGCTCGCATACAAAGAGGGCACCGTCAGCTACACACGCTGGGGACAACGGAGGGTGAAAGGGCGGGGGGAAAGGCTGGTTTATTTAATTGACATACTGCTTTAAGAACTAAAACCCAATGGTATTCCCTGCCCCCACCGGCAGCCCGGGCTGCAGAAAGGGAGCCAAGTGGGGGGGGGGGGGAGGGGAAGAAGGGAGGAAGGGAAAGGTAGGAAGGGAGATGGGGGGGGAAGCGAGGGGGGGGAAGCGGGGGGGGGGGGTTGACCCGACCACACAAAGTAACTTCTACTCCTGGCAGAGAGGGACTATTTGGCTGCGCTCTGGGCCCTTAGCCCCACAGATGTGGGCACACATCTCCACCCAGGGCGAAGCACATCCGACGGTCTGTGGACACCAGGTGGGAGGTCGCTTCACTGGGGAGGGGTCAGACCCGGAGACCACATCCAGGGCAGCCTGGATTGAGAGGAATCAGGAGACACACCAGGCCTTCCCGGGGACACCAAGGCCACCAGGGTTCCCCACACCCCCCGCCTTCTGCAAGCAGGGCAAGGTGAAACGCCGCGGGGAGCCGCGTCTACACGGGGTGGGAGCTCCCAGCCGAGGCTAGAATTTTTCCAGTACCTCTTTTTTTTCTTTTCCTTTTGCTAAGGTCGTGAGAAGAACAGGTAAAGTGTTCGATAAATCGAACTGATGCCTGGAATCATTTGTGGGCTACAGAGATCATACTCTAAGGGGAGCCTGGGCACCCCGCTTGAGGGTAACGCGAGCACTCTACCCACGCGGCGTGGCCAAGGCGGGGAACAATAGGCCCACGACAGCCCCCACCCCGAGAACAATGGCGGCGCCGAACCCTTCCTCGCCCCCCACCTCTACTCTCGCCACCTGGGCCCGCCCCGCCGCCCCCAGTCGCCCCTCCACCGCCCGGGAGCGAACTATAGGGAGTGGGGGAGGGGGTTTCTCTTCTAGTCTACGCGAGAGGGCAGCCCTGTGGGGGATGTCCGAAGGGGCGGCCGAACACCCCTGCGGTCTGGGGCGTTCGGGCGCCCGGCTGCGGCGCGAAGCAGCAGGGGAAGCCACACGTCCCGGACACTTACCCCAATCACCACGGTCTCATCGCCTTTAAATTTGGGGATGAATTTGTCCCCTCGGAGAATCTCCGCTTCGTTGAGGGGCCGGAACCGGCACATCACTTTGATGCTGCATTCAGCTGGATCCGCCATCTCGGCCGGCGGCAGGGAGGGGGCGCGGGGATGGGTGGGGGGCCGGGGCTCAGCAGGACGAGGGAGGAGGCCACGAACCGCACCGCCTGCAGCGAGGCCGCCTCCTGCAGCCTCCGACGAAGCTTCTCAGCAGGTCATCGCGAACTCGGCGGGCTGGGCAGCTCGGGCCGCTCCCAGACCGGGTAGGCTTCTATCAGCCTCCGGCCCCTCCGGCTGCAGACCTGCCTTCCCTGGCCTTGCCCTGGCCCGGCGCGGCGCTCCGGGCCCACCTGCCCGCGACCACGCGGCCGGCGGACGAGGCGATGCGCAGGGAGCGAGCCTCGCCCGGCTCAGACCTCCCGGGCTCCTGCGCGCTCAGCCATCCTGCATCAGCACCAGCGCGCTCGACCGCCTCCCCGGCCCGCCCCTTCGCCCCGCCCACCTCCGGCTCGCCCCGGGACGGTGACGTCACTGCGGAGATCCGCCCCGCCCTCGCCCCGGCTGGAGAGTGGAGCATCCCGGGACTTGTAGTCTCTGCCTGCCGGTGGAAGGACAAGGATACCACTTACAGTTGGCTTTTGGGGACAGCGGTGGTACCCCAGGTGCCACCTCCGAAAGCCTGCAGTTCTGGTCTGGCTGCCCAGGTCAAGAACAGGGTGGAGGTCATATCCAGCATTCCCAGTTAAAATCTCTATATAAACCAGATCTATATCATCTCTTTACAGCTTTTCATGATCCCCAAGGAGAAGCCCTTAAGACAATGTCCAGCAGAAACGTTATGGAGCATTTTCTCTGTGCTGAACGGTTTTGTAAGAGTTGTGAGGAAATCAAGGGGGAAATGAGATTTGCATGAATATTTGAAGCCATCATTCCCCAAAATGCCTGCACAAACCAGTTCACAGCATATTTTGGGTCAGGGACTGCTTTAATATCTGATGAAAGCTGAGAACATTTTCCATAACAAAAACCAAAAACAAATAAACTATACATGCCCATAGATTTTTCACACTATTTCACTGGATTTGGGGACAACTGAAGCCTGTCTGTGGCTGCCAGGTTAGGAACCTCTTAATTACTATTAATAATAATGAGGTTTACAGAACCTCTGCCTAATGCCTACTTAGAACCTATAGAATAAACAGAATATATACAGGATCAAGTTCTAAAGTCCTTTGCATAATATAGGCCCCATGATCAGATTTTTGCCTACTTATTGGTCTCATTTCCTACACTTCTTGTCTTAATGTTTACACATTGACAAATACCAAACTACTTGTGGCTTCCTCCATTCACCTCTTGCTCTGCTTGTTCTGATACTTTGTTTAAGCCATTTGCTCTCTAGGGGTCACCCATTCATGCCTATTACTAAGTAAGTATATTAAATAAGGCTCACAGAGTAAAAAGTAATAGAAACCCAACTGGAGCCACTGTGGCAAAAGGAGAATTTATCAGAAGAATCCAGATTATCTTGCTTATTCTAAAAAATGATTAAACAATGGAGTCAGGGAACAGGCAGGCTACCAAGACACTCTCTCTATCTCTTGTCCCTGTTTCCTGTTTGTATTGGCCTCATTCTTTCTCACTCCAGATCATCCCTCCCAAATGTCAGGAAACCCAGCTGCCAAGAGTCCCTGGGATTCACCCTTCAATTTCTACCACTAGATAAGGTTAGATGTTTGCTTGGAGTTTTGGTTTGGAAAACAACAACAACAACAACAACAACTAGTCTGTGATTGGCATGGGCTTAGGTGTCTAGCCCTAGACCACTCAATCAGAGTCAGGAACTTTGTAAGATCTTTGAGGAATACCATGGTGGGAAGGTTCCCAAAAGAAGAGGGATGCTATTCCCAGAAAAAGAACATGATGCTGGGCTGGCCAAACAATTAGATGTCCACTCTCCCTTTCTAGTGCTACCTTTTCCTTTTTGACTCAACTCAACCCTCCCTCTTTAGGAAGGCTTCCCTGACTTAATAAACATCCACAAAGGGTAGGTGTCCTCCTTGTTGTCCTCATAATCTTCTATGCACATCTCTATCACTACACTCTCATGGGCAATGATATCTGCCTCATCTTTATGTCTCTAGCATCTAGCGCATAGTAGGCAGCATGTTGAATAAGGAATCCAACCTAGAAGGAAGCTCCACTTGAGTAAGAATCCCAGCCCTGCCACTTCCTAGATGTGGGAGCCACAGCAAGGTATTTAATTTCCTTAAGACTCAATTTTATCTCTGTCATTGGAATAATAATCATCTCATAGAGGTTTTGAGGAAATTAGAAGAAATAATACTTTTAAAGCACCTAGCATGGTGCCTGACATGCACATAGTCTAAACACTTGAATTTTAGTTGTTGTTGTTGTTGTTGTTGTTGTTCTGTGCTGAACAAATGGTAAAACAAATGCAGTACTTAGTTAATTTAAGGAATACATCTGTTGCTTTAATGCAAGTGCACCTGGAAATACAGTTTTTCTGCCTAGCTAAGAAGACAGACCTACCAAAATAAACTTTCATAAGCCATTATAAGCAGCACCAATTTGATTTCCTGTCCTCAGATGCAGGGAAAGTAAGTTAAAAAAATAAAGGCCCAAGCACCACATTGTCATCATTTTAATAGTTCTCAGGCTCTGACTCAGACACTCTCCATCTTTAGCGGTCACCTTCACAATATACTGGAGAGGTCAGCCCAATCTCCAGTTTCCCTGAGCCCACTGAAGATTACCAGAACCTCACACATACTGAGAAGATCTGAGAAAGTCAGCACATGCATTACCTGGGGTGGAGAGACCTGTGTGTCCCAGGGTTCATTCTTCATTTATTCAGTCATCTATCAATTCATCGACTATTAACTGAGCAAATGACATTTGCTGCCACTATATATATAAATTTAGGTTTATTAAATGAACTCTTTACCAGAGGGTTAACAAAGGGGGTGCCTGAGTGGTTCAGTTGGCTGAGCATCCAAACGCAGCTCTTGGTTTCAGTTCAGGTCATGACCTCAGGTATGTGAGATGGAGCCTGGCATCAGGCTCCACACTCAGCAGGGAGCCTGCTTGAGATTCTCTCTCTTCCTCTCCCTCTGCTCCTCCCCCTGCTCACTCTCTCTCTCTCAAAGTAAATTAATTAATTTTAAAAAAGAGGTTTAATAAAGACTTCCCCCCTTCCCTCCTGCCCACTTGCAACTTGAGGGGAAGTTACAAAATAAGTCATTACCCTCAAGAAACTTAGAAACAAGTTAGATACCCTGGGTAGGCTGCCCAATGGTGGCTAAGAAGGCTTAATCAAAGGGATGGAGGAAAAAAAAAAAGGAGATGGACTAGGTAGGATTGAAAAATCTTAGAGAAAGTTTACGATTGGCCTGGGCTTAAAAAAATTGAAGAGATGCCCACAGAAAACAAAAGAGAAAATAGATAAACTGAACCACATCAAATGATACACTCTTGTGTATCAAAGGTCACTATTAACAGAGTGAAAAGGCAACTCACAGAATGGAAGAAAATACTTGTAAATCACATATTGTAAATCATATTAAGGGGTATCTAGACTATATAAAGAACTACTACAAATCAACAATAAAAGAAAATCTGATTTTAAAATGGGCAAAGGACTTTAATAGGTATTTAATAGGTATTTCTCCAAAGAAGATTAGCCAATAAGCACAGGAAATGATGCTCAATATCACTAATCTTACAGAAATGCAAGTCAAAACCACAATGAGATAGCACGTCACATCCATTAGAAAGGTTGTTATAGAACACCACCAACAAAAACAGAAAATAAGTGTTAAAGACGATGTGGGCAAATTGAAACCCTTGTGCACTGTTGGTGGGAACATAAAATGGTGCAGACACTACGGAACACAGTTTAACAGCTCCTCAAAAAATTAAAAATAGGGGCACCTGGGTGGCTCAGTCGTTAAGCGTCTGCCTTTGGCTCAGGTCATGATCCCAGGGTCCTGGGATCAAGCCCCACATTGGGCTCCCTGCTCGGCGGGGAGCCTGCTTCTCCCTCTCCCACTCCCCCTGCTTGTGTTCCCTCTCTCACTGTCTCTCTCTCTCTCTGTCAAATAAATAAATAAAATCTTTTAAAAAAAATTAAAAATAGATTAGCATATGATCCAGCAATTCTACTTCTGCATATATATATTCCACAGAATTGAAATCAGGGTCTCAGATATTTGTACATCCATGTTCATAGCAGTATTATTCTCAATAACTATTGGGGTATATTTTACCATAATTTTAAAAAGATAGAAACCCCTGTGTACTGTAGGTATGAAGGCAAACTGGTGCAACCACTATGGAAAACAGTATAGAGGTCCTTCAAAAAAAAATTAAAAATAGAACTACCATATGATTCAGCAATCCCACTTCTGGGTCTTTATCCGAAGGAAATGCAATCACTGTCTCAAAAAGATATATGTACTCCTATGCTCATTGCAGCATTATTTACAATAGCGAAGATATTGAAACAACTCAAGTGCCCATCAACAAATGAATGAGTAAAGAACACACACACACACGTGCACGTGAATATTATTCAGCCATAAAAAAGGAAATACTGCCATTTGCAACAACATGAATGGACCTTAATGGCATTATGTTAAGTGAGATAAGTCAGAGAAAGATAGCTACTATATGATCTCACTTACATGTGGAATCTAAACAAACAAAAACGAATTCATTGACACAGTGAACAGGTTGGTGGTTGCCAGAGGCATGGGGTGGGTGTGGGGGAATCAGAAGAAGGGGATCAAAAGTACAAACTTCCAGTTATAAGATAAGTAAGTCCTAGGGATGTAATGTACAACATGGTAATGAGAGTTAACAATACTGTATTGCCTATCTAAAAGTTGCTAAGAGAATAAAGCTCTCATCACAAGAAAAAAAAAATTGTCACTATGTATGGGGACAGATGTTAACTAAACTTATTGTGGTGATCACTTCACAATATATACATATGTCAAATCGTTATGTTGTGTACCTGAAATTAATACAACGTGTCAATTGTATCTCAATTTCTAAAAATATATAACATCAAAAGAACAAGAAATTGACCTTTGAAAACCTTCCTGAACAGCTCTAGCCCACAGGGCTCTCTGCTTCGGCACCCGAGCACTTGCTGCCTTGCAATGACATTCCTATTATTGTCTGGTACCATTCTCTAGTGCTTTCCATTTCACAATTCTTTCTGTTAAATGCCTTGTGTGTGTCTTGCTCCTGCATCTATGTTGTGGGGATCATGCATTATTTACATGCTTGATAGGTATTTTCTGAATGATCAATCCATGTCCATCATGATCATGATAATGGCAAGGACAAATGAATAAATATATGAACCTGAAAATAAGTTGCATTGTAGATGGAGCCTTGGGCTCAGGACCTACATTTTTTATTCCTGTTCT